CATAATTCTAACAATGGTCAGGCTGTCATTCTTACAATAGCCAGGCGTCATTCTAACAATAATCAGACTGTCATTCTAACAATAGTCAGGTCGTCATTCTAACAATAGTCAGGACATAATTCTAACAATAGTCAGGCCGTCATTCTAAAAATAGTCAGGACATTATTCTAACAATTGTCAGGACATCATTCTAACAATAGTCAGGTCGTCATTCTAACAATAGTCAGGACATCATTCTAACAATAGTCAGGACATCATTCTAACAATAGTCAGGTCGTCATTCTAACAATAGTCAGGTCGTCATTCTAACAATAGTCAGGACATCATTCTAACAATAGTCAGACCGTCATTCTAACAATAGTTAGGACATTATTCTAACAGTTGTCAGGCCGTCATTCTAAAAATAGTCCGTCATTCGAACAATAGTCGGACAGTCATTCTAACGGTAGTCATGTCTTCATTCTAACAATAGTCAGGTCGTCATTCTAATTAAGAAATAATATATCCCAAACAGTGATTTTATTGCTCAATAACATCACTGTTTGGAGTTCGGATGCGAGGAATTATATCACGAGGGCGTAGCCCGAGTGATATAATGATGCGCATCCGAACGACAAACAGTGATGTTATCAAGCGATAAAATCACTGATTTGGATATATTATTTCGATTCTAACACGACATCAACAAATAAATGCTGCCGTACTTGATAGTTAAGCAAATTTGCGCCTGATTTGTTTCCGTACTTATTTTCAGCGCGTCAGATTTTTAGTGGTTACGTCACGTGTATAATGATTACGTCACATGTCTAAATATAGACGTCAAACTGTGCATCTGTTGCATAATAACACACACTTTCTGTTCTTCTATGTTCAATAGGGAAAAATGCGGGTCGTGTTAGAATTACAGTTAGACCGGTATCCTAACGTTGGTCAGTTCGTAATTCTAGCAAGTCAGGCCGTCACTCTAACGGTAGTTAGGTCGTCATTCTAGCAGTAGTCAGGTCGTCATTCTAGCGGTAGTCAGGTCGTCATTTTAGCGAATGATCTCTTAAAGTAAACATTATCCAAAACATGTTTGTTATACTGGTTAAAGTTTAATGTAATAGCAGCCGCATTCACGTATTCTGATTCAAGGGCAAATAACTCACTAAGTGAAATCGGTGATACTTAAGGTGACAACAGACACTTTCCGTGGTACACACATAAATGCCATTTAAACCAACTTATTTTAGTAATAATTGTTATTTATTTAATCTTTATGCATTAAATGTCGCTGATCATCATAAAAAATAACATATTTGAAAAAAATGCCTTTGTCAATGATTGATATTTAATAAAAATCCTAAAATTTTAAATCGTCATATCAAAGTCATTTTTTATTTTTTTGTTATCAAACTTTTGGAAAATAAACATACTTATAATATCTGGGGAACCGTGTCTCAAATTTTTTCAATCTTTTTTCAAAAAAATATTACGTAATGTCAAACAATTTATGCGACTTTTTTCACCATACATATTACGCAATTAAAGATAATTAAGTCGCTGATTGAGAAAACAAAAAGCCCTGACACGGTTCCCTCCGTAAATGAATTCCCTTTCATGTGCTTTAAACCGCATGTTAATTGCTTGATTATTAAAAAAGTTATGCCGATTCAAAGTTAGTCCGACCCGCATCAAACGAAGTGTCATAAATCGGCTGTTCTCTCTCGGACCCCTACGTTTCACGCTAAATAATTGCATAATACACAAATATCGCACCAGAGAGGGTCACAGGTTGCGGTAACATACTCTAACAACATTTTATGACCCAGTGACATCTGACCAATTAAAAAGTTGCTGATTAATATCAGTTTATAACAGAAATTTCTTCAAATCTTAACGTGATTTACTGTCCGTCTGGTATCGGTCGCACATGTCACGTGACTTTCGGTAAAATTTGAGGCACTCGGTGGGGGGAAATGGAACGTATTTGCGCACCGCTAGCGGGGTATTTAATTGTTTCACTTTTGAAGTTTATTATTATTATCATCAGCATTATTATTATATTATACCAGTGTCACTCTGTCTGTGTATTCGTGTATGAAATTCCGTTAAAATATAAATTAAAATAACAAAAAACTGAGCTTCTGACGGTATTTTAAAGGCCATGGTAGATGTACAAATAAGAACGGGATATTATATATTTTTTCCTCCAAATTGATATAAATGCTTCACATATTTTAATAGAAATAAAAGGTATCACTCGATCATTATGATCTGACCTTCTTGACTTCTATTATCATGAAAATCATCTATACACGGTATAGATATCCAGTTTCTACTGGATAAACAATAAATTCCATACTTTGTCCCAGGTTTATTAGAACTGTGTTCGATTTACTGGCGAACAATTTATTCAAAGCATTCACTGATAATATATATTAATATCTTTTTTTTATTGATTCATAGAGAAATAATCATCCTTAAACAATCTAAAATGGTTTAGAAATTTGTCAGGGACACCTTACCGCAAGTCATATAGGTGTTCACATAAAAAATGTTGTCTGTTTTTGTTGTTGTTTTACTTGACATTGTTAGAAAACGAGGTTGAATGTAAAGCAAGCCGTTGAATCCGTACAAAAGTCCATAAACTCAATGTAATATCTATCAGATTAACGGGACATACAAATTATTTTCACACATTATGGATATTTTAGCAACTATATTTTTAATCAACCCCGTGGTCGTGCGATTTGCCGCTATTTATGTTTCATACATTATGTTACGGACATTGGCCGACAATTTCTTATTTTATAAAAAATGCCAAATAAAAGGTAGACGATATTCATAAAAGATGTACGGTATTTGTACGATACATGAATTACGAGTAGGGACCGGTAATTCACGGATATATGGAACTACTGATTTCCCTCATTGATGCCTCAACAGGGGGCGGATCGTTATCGATAATTGACAGGTTACGCGAATAGCAGATAAAAATGGTACAGGTACCGTTTTAAAACGTTTAAAAACACATTTTTTGGACTAACTGCTTCCAAAATTAAATCACGAATGTGTTCAGAAAAGGTTGATAAATCTACTAAGCAAAAAATCTCATTTTAGGTATTTTCAGTGATAATTGACTCCGTTGTCACCTTAATAATGTTGATCTGTTTCGAATGATAAATTAGCTACGAATGGGAAACGTATTAAAAAGAATATTGGCAAAATAAAACTGTTCAATAAAATTTTCTAAACAAGTTTGGTGTTACCGATCTCATATAGTGAGTTATTTGCCTTTGCATCAGAATTATTTACACATTGACATATCAAGGGCAGATTACTTATACATACGTTAATAAAATCTTTTTTTTACCTTTGGGTTATTTTTCTTTGTTATTGCTGATCACAATACATAATAACATGTAATCTGTTCTTTATTTTTGAAAGTTGCATATTGACTCAAATGGAAATAAGCTACATGGTATAAAAAAGAATTAAGTTAATGTTTACCTTCATTGTGAATTATCCGCCATTGAATTAAGCAAAAAAGTCCAATTCAGGGACAAATAACGCATAACGAGACGGTGTCCGCGAAAAAAGGATGTCTGTTATATTCTAACAACATGCGAGATTGAAGAAATTCTACTGAACAGATTTAAATTTGCCTATACATGGTATATGTTGATATAAAAACTCTCGAAAAAAACGTCTTTATGTATCAAAAAACCTGTACCTTGCGTTTAAACCAATACTATGTTAAAAAACGTTCATTGTTAAACATGAATAAGTATGAGATAAGTAAAGGGTATTTTATATAAATATACATTAACACTACGCTAAAACACGTGACTATTGAACAAAATTAAATTTATTTCATCTGTAACACAACTTACGTTAGAAATTCGTAATACAATTTACAGTTATAACAAAGCTGACAATGAAGAGAGAAAAATCGATGATTGCTGTCATTGCAATGTTACGAATATAAAATAGATAGGACTTGTCTTAAATTATGATTAGCACTTTCTACAAGGTGATTAAAATCATCGTACAAGTCCGTTAATAGAAATGTTGTGGTTGTCTTAACAGAAAAGTTGTTCTTCTATGAAGGAAATGAACATATATTTATATAAAACTATAGACACTTAAATTTCCCAATGGTATATTTCACTATGAATTTAGTGAACTTATATGCTTCCAACACCATCTTGTATTGTGAGCTGCATTACAATCTATGTTGTATATTATAAAGTGTCAACTAAATTATACGATTTTAAAGCTATTGTAAAAATTGATTATTCGGGAGTACTATGTAGATGTATTGAAATGGTAGAAATGAAAACGCCTTTGTGCTTATGTTTGGCTCATGATCTATGTCATCTTCTTATTTTATCAATTATTAGTTGATAGAAACAATCTTTATCAACGTAACATTTTGACAGATTCAAATTAACTGTAATGCATTATATGTACGAGTAGGTTTTTGTCCAGCGTCCAAGTGCTTGCTTGCAGGTAATAATTAAACTTAAAGGCGCTCAGACAGTATTTGGGCGCTTGTGATGGGAGAGGATTAAAATGACAAATGAACATTTACAGTTACAGAAAGTCAAATAGATTTCGTTGCCAGATTTTAATTAAAAATGCTTTATCAAAAGCACTTGGTCGCTTTGTTAACAGCTTTAATCGGGGAACTTGCAAATTTGAATTTACAGTGAAATGTTATCTTAGATAGCAGCACTGTGTTAACAAGTAAAGGTAGTGATAAACAACGTAAGTTATTACACATATGAATATATCTATTAGCTATGTTTGCATTTGTATAAATTAAAAGAAGCACACCTTTAAAAATTTCAAACACTTTTTGAGTATGTTATTAACTAACAGTCTTAGGATTCTTTTAAATATTACAAAAAATACTGAACATTTATTTCATACAAATAAACATTGAAATTCTTTTCAAAATTATACAAGTATTATATATTAAAAAGAGACATGAATGTTTAAAAAATCCCACGTACCGTTAATCGTCTGCTGTAAATATTTCCCAATCAGTTTCCAATACAATCTCGGAATTCTGTCTTTGAATTGACGACAAGCACGCGGAAGTCGCTAACGAGTCACGTGAGTTTGCTCAATGACGATAAAAAGTATGATTTCCGGTTCAGTACAAAGTCAATCTGAATCATCCTTAAACATCAATACTCACAAAATGACATGTTTTTACCGGCCTTTTATTAAGTGTATATTGAAATATGTACAGAATAATCAATATTTCGTACAAAAATGTATGCATGTATTGAGATTTTAGAACCACCATAAATTAGATGAATATAGAAGAGTGTCGATGATCTTGACTTTGTATCGACCAAAAGTGTCATTTACCTTTCATGTCAAACAAAAACATGTTTAATAAAAACAATCGCGCGCACACTTTCTTAACATGTAAATAAGGAAAGTCCGTGAATATATATAAATGAAATATGTCTAAATCAATTTAACAAACAATACATGAATAAAAAGATTTTTTTCAAAAAATTATTTTTCTTGAAGATGAGCAAACAAATGGAATCAGTTGTGGTGTCTGAACGATAAATAAAAAGACTGTCAGTTTTCATTTCTTTTTTAACTATTGTTTGTTTTTTTTATCAAGACTTATTGTGTTATAGTACACATTATTAATGGCCTTTTAGCATTATTTATTAAAGCGACCGACCAGTTTATTGTTTGAAGATGACTTGAGGTCCCCATATAACTAGTCTTGAATGGTTATATACTATTTCTGTACTATACCATGTTTTAATAAACTAAGATGTATTTCATTAAACTTGAACAGTTTGGCCTATTTGATTAACTGTTTTTTTTCCTACTGTAAAACTGTTACGCATTATTTTAACATGGAAAAATTATCGGCAAAACTGTTGCTAGTTTGAATCGATTTAAACGGTTATTTAAAGCAGCACGCTTCCAGAAGATAACAGAAAAACTACCAACATATATTTTTATAGCTCTCTGCAAATGTATGTTTACAATATTAAAATGCAATACAATAAAACAAAATATTTTGAAAAAAAAAATTATTCTGTGTGCTTTTGGTTTTTATAACCTTAAATTTTTAAACTGTTATAATAAAGAAATATATTTTGTTGCAGTTGAAAGTTAATTTGATCCGTCACCCCCTGGTCCCAGACTGTTAAAACGGTTCATTTTATGCAAACAAGAAACACGATGTATTGATTTTTTCTTGAATTATGATGTCAGTTAAAACAAATTTACACATTAAAACGAACTCTACCATTATTTAGCGTTTACTTGATTTTTTTTTTCATTTTACCACCTGTAGGCGAGTTGTTTTAAAATCAGAAAACATATTTCTGTTCTTCAAATAATCATTAGAATATATAGGCTATTTTGTTACTTATATCTTAATCAAAATGTATTCAATGTCAGTTGTCTGAACCTTTACCAGCGATTTATTATTATTATGTTAATAATCACGTGTTACCACAATGGCCTTGTCATTGGGATGAAGGTAATTTGAAAGTCTAAAGTCCAATAACAAGGCTATTATGAAAACACTTAATTATTGACAATTTTATTAATTAACTACATATAATCTAAAAAAAATAAATAAGTACTTAGTGAACAAAAAATAATAACTGTGAAATTCCGTTGTTGTGAGGTATTGCAAATGAGATTCTTGCTTTAAAAATGTTTCGGAAACCTACCTTGCAGCAATTTAAAATGGCGACCTTTTTTCAATGAAAAAAAAAAGAAGTTTTATAATGGCCGAGCTGGAGAGCCAATCAAAATTCTCCAGTCTCATAATAGCCGAGTTTTCTCATAAAGGCCGTACTTTTTCCATAATGGCCTTGTTTTATGTTCATAATGTCGTGGTGAAGTTCATAATTATTAGCCTTACATTTGAAGTGAAAACGTTCCTAATATTGAAATGTTAATTAATAAAAAATATTTCTTCGACGGACATCTTATGACGTCATCGTAAAAATCAATTCCATGATGACTTTTAATAAAATAAAATGAATTCGGCCGATCCGATCTTATCCGGTCTCTCTAGATCAGCAAACATAAGAGACAAGAGACAATATAAATACTGTAAAATTTGTTATTTAAAATAACTGAAAGACCGATAAAAATATGTGAAGGTGTTAGCCGATCTCCAATATTTGCAGGCAGCGGTTACTAATGGTAGAAATTTTAACCCGATTAAACCCGATTACTCTTAATTAAGAGAAGAATTAAGTGTGCTTACGTGTCTTCAGTTCTTTATTGGAAAATGAATCTTGGGAGTTTGTTTGAAAAAACACCCACAAAAATGCAGTTCCTGGTTGGACTTGGAAAAAGACATCTCCCGTTAAAAAATAGATCGATGTCTTTTGGATAAGTCTAATTAGTTCAATTAGTATAAATGCTTAGCTAAGAGTAAATTATGATTGATCGGTAAATGTTATGGATTTCTTGACGCAGACGTCTCAATTCGTCTGCATAGTACGAACCGTTTATGGTACGACCAATCCTGATTATCCACTGACTATCCCAAACAATTGAAACCATCATCTTCCCTGCTGATGGCACCCTCTTGAATTTCTTCGGAGGGGGTGAGCCAGGGTGCTTCCACTGCATGTTGTTTTTTTTAAAAATCTGAATCAAAGTGATGGATCCATGTTTCATCCTGAGTTACGATCCGGTAGATAAAATCAGGTTCATCCTCGTAGTGAGACAGAAGATATCTTGAATTGTCTAGACTGGTCCCTTTCTGGTCGTCATTCAACTGTCTGGGGGGACCCATCTAACGAAAACCTTTGACATGTCATAGACATCAGTAAGAATTGCCGGAACTGAACCAAAGCTTATACCCACTTCCCTTGCAATGCTTCGCAGGTCTCGTCTTCTGTCACACATGACCAGATCGTGTACAGCTTCGGCAGTTTCATCGTTGTTTGTTTTTGGGCGCCCAGGCCGCTCATCATCCCCAATGCTCTCCCTGCCCAACTTAAATTCAGCAGCCCATTTTTTCACAAGTGTATCCATAAAGTCTTCATGGATTTCCTTGGGGGACATCCCTTTCTTACAGAGGTACTTAATGACGGCTCTCATTTCAACTTTCTGCATTTGGTCTAAATGACACACCCCTCTACTGACCAAAGTGTGTTTTATGTTATTTAATCTGTGTAAAATCGCGTGTAACTCGGTCAGTAATCTTCAATAATATATCGGTATCAACGTATCGTGTGTAAATGTCAGTGTAGTGGCTAGAAGTATATTGGGCCGAGAACTTTTTGATCATATCTTGTAACCTATTGGTTACATGTTTTCTACTGATACAGGGGAAAAGTAAGTGTTTTCGGTGAAAACCTACCGACTGGAAATTGTAACATGTTTAAAATACTATATCGGTGAAAATATTTGCAAATAACTGATTGACAACCTGTCTACAACCGATATCACCGATGGACCACCGATAAGCAACTGATCAAGTGATACTTAACCACCGATACAGTAAGAAGTTACACAGACGGTCGGTCCCCAATCGGTCATTTAATTTTAAATTTACTCGCTGTTATGTTCGGTTGTTATGCGTGATTTTATTTCTGGTTTTCTGTGTAAACGGCCATCGGAGACAGAAAACAAACCTAAACGGGGTTGGATCGGTGATAAAAATGCTTAAATACTATCGGTTTTTATCGTTTGTAAATCAAAGCTAAATCGGGCGTAACGCTGATTAATCGGTGTTTGATAGCTTGTCATCAGTGGTTAAACACTTTCCGTCAGATATGGCCGGTGATTCATATTTGGTTATCTTTGTCCGATCGGCGATATTAAAAGCTTGCATATCTCGTGACATAGGTTGCTGTCGGTTATTTGTAAAATACTTTTGGTTATTTTTCACCGATAAAACTTATCTTTCCCCAATAGCAGTTGATAGGTGGAAAACAGGTGACCAATAGGTGATATCGGTGTTAAATACGTTGTCATCGGTTCACTCCATAAATTGGCTAAAAAAAACTACCGATCAATCACCGATGGCCCTGTGTAACTGGGGTGTTATTTGACACACATATTGTAAGAATTATAACTGCAATATAAAGTTTGGTATCAATAAGCTTTATGTTCATCACTACGTCCCGAAGACATTTCTGCAACAGTTTATACATATATTTCCTTAAAATTGTATATGTAATCGTTAGATACAGTTATAATAAAAAGCCTTGTCTATAAATAATAATAATAATAATAATAATAATAATAATAATAATTATAATAATAATATCAAAATTTTAAATGTGGCCTCATAAACAATTATATAGAAACACAAAACATCATAAAACAATAACAACTATTCCATTAAGATTTTGCCCTACAACCTTTTTTGACAGACGCTCCATTAAGATATTAAATATCATTTATACAATTTTCAGTGACAAAAAGTCTTTTTACCATAGTATGTTCGGTGTTTAGGTATAACTATGTCTTATGTGATGCTGATTGTGAATTACATTGCTGGAAAAAGTCCAAATTTCAGATATATTATGTGGCTAGGTTATTACAAGCCTTATAAATAAGAATTCCAATATGAAAATTATATCGTTCATTGAACGACATCCACCCAAGTTCTTTTAGTATGTCTTGATTTCTTATTCGTGATGTTTTGTTTAAAATAGTCCTTGCAGCTCTTATTTGTAATTTACCTATTTTATTAAAGACCTTAAATTTCCTTTGTTTCCCTTGTTTTTCAAGATTTGTTATAACATTATTCTTTATAAACATTTCTTATTAGTTTAACGCTGGGCCTTTATATAATATACACAAGTAAATAAATATGCCACTGAAAGACAAATGCAGTAGGACTTTAGTGTCATATGGCCACATTTCTGGTTCGTTTTTACAAATGTATATTAGGAATGGCCGTTTGTCCAATAAAGGGAAATAATCGATGTCACATTCAAACATGAAGGCATTTGTATATAACCTCCCTTTTTACAAAATTTGTTTAATCAATTGAAGAAGAACGGAAGATATTTTTATCTCGTAGCGTTTGCATTTCCCCCTAAAACATGCATACTGAATAAGAAAAACTTGTTCTTTTCAAGGGTCA